ACACGGGCTCTTTGGTGCCCACCCAGGGGACACTCGGAGATGGCCAGCACCGGGCCGGGGCAGGCCGTGTTGGGACCGGGCCCACCTCTCCATCTGCCCCTGGAAGTGGGCGGGGGGGGGGGCCCGCCGGGGGGGGGGGGGTCGGCTCGGTGTGGTGGGGGGGAGCCGAGGCCCAGGGCCGCCGCGCCGGCTCACGCAGCCCCGCCTGCAGGTGACGCCAGCGAGAGCGCCGAGGACATCTTCTTCCGGCGGGCCAAGGAGGGCATGGGCCAGGACGAGGCGCAGTTCAGCGTGGAGATGCCGCTGACGGGCAAGGCCTACCTGTGGGCCGACAAGTACCGTCCACGCAAGCCGCGCTTCTTCAACCGCGTGCACACGGGCTTCGAGTGGAACAAGTACAACCAGACGCACTACGACTTCGACAACCCGCCGCCCAAGATCGTGCAGGGCTACAAGTTCAACATCTTCTACCCCGACCTCATCGACAAGCGCTCCACGCCCGAGTACTTCCTGGAGGCATGTGCCGACAACAAGGACTTCGCCACCCTGCGCTTCCACGCGGGGCCGCCCTACGAGGACATCGCCTTCAAGATCGTCAACCGCGAGTGGGAGTACTCCCACCGCCACGGCTTCCGCTGCCAGTTCGCCAACGGCATCTTCCAGCTCTGGTTCCACTTCAAGCGTTATCGCTACCGCCGGTGACTGCCGGGCCCCCTCCCGGGCCGCCTGCCAGCCCTCGCAGCGGCCGGTGGGGCCGGCGGCCTCCCCTGGCCTTCCCGTCGCCCAGACCCGCTTTCCCTGTTGCGGACAGGGGAGGGGGGCCACCGGAGAAGCTGCCCCGTCGCGCTGACAGGGCAGGGTGCCAGGCTTTTGAGGCACAGGGATCCGAGCCCAGGGCGGCTGCGGGAACCCCACCCCGGCCCTCGCCCAGGCTGGCCTGGTGCTGCTGTGGGTCAGTCTCTGCCCGCTGGGTGGGCACGGAAGACCCGTCTGCCACCGGGTCCAGCAGCCAGGGGCCACAGAGACGTTCTCTGCGTGCGGCAGCGGCGCCCCCACCCGACCTGGGTGCCCCCCCACGTTGGGACAGCTGCGCTCCTGGAGACTGCCTCCCAGGCGGCCCGAAGCTGCGCTCGCGTCCCCGCATGTGGCCGAGCTCGGCTGTGGGGCTGACAAGTGCGGCCACCACCCACTCACACGCTGCCCCAGAAACGTTGCTTCTGACGCCTGTTCCAGACACGTTTCCAGCCTGAAGGGGCAAGACCCCCGGCGCCGGCTTCTCCAGCGGCCACAGCCACAGCCACACGCCCTGTTCCGTCTGGGAGTGTTTTAGGTTGTTTCTCTAAAATGAATTTTTTTAGGTGGGGGGAAATATCTTATTTTCATTTAATTGGTCTACTCATGAAGTTGCATGTTTTTTTAATAAACACTTTATTTTAGAATACTTCTAGAGTTTCAGAAATGCTGCACAGTCTGGAGCCCCAGGCCCCGCCGCCACAGGCGGTCGCGTTGTTTCCATCTTGCGTGGGCAGAGCACACACGTCACAACCAGGGTGAGGAGACCTTTAATGACAGCACTTAAGAACAGCGGTGGCCCCTCAGGAAGCTCCCCGCTGCCCGCAGCTGTCCTTGTCTTTGCCCACCCGTGGCTTCACCTCCCCCCGGAGTGCCTGACCGGCTCGAGCGTGGATGCTGGGAGGTGAGGAGCTGCTCTCCCAGGCCAGGGGATGGTGGGCTGTGGTCGTCACGCTGGGGGCGGGGGCGGGGGTGGAGGGTCTCCGGGCCAGGAGGGGGGCGCGGGTGCTACTCGGCCCCCCCACGGTGCCCAGGCTGCCCTCATGACCGAGGACCGTCCGGCCCAGCGTCCGTGGCCAAGACTGACCGTCCCCGGGCCACTGGTCGCCCCAACCCTGTCTTAATGCTACCCCAGGAGCGCCTGGCAGAGCCCAGGCCTCTCCTCCATCCTGCCCCACCTCACACATGCACACGGCAGCAGGGCTGGGCCACTCAGCAGGGAGGTGGGTCTGGTCAAGGGGCCCCGGAGCTGCGAGCTGGGGACGTAAGCTGGCCCACCCACACCAGCCTGGTGCAGGCCGGGCGGCACACGGAGCACATCCGGCCCCTTCACCACCCCTGACGGACATCACTAATTCATCACTGACTGCCAGGGCGACCTTCGTATCTTGCATGTATCTAAGCAGTTGGTACCCGGTGATTCCTGGCCCGCTCCACTGTCCTGCGCACAGGGCAGGCCCCTGGGCACAGGGCTGAGTCTGGGGCACACCCAGGAGGCATTTCGGCCCTAGCCTGCCGCTTGGTCACAGGCTGGGTAAAGCACTGCCCTGTCGTCCCAGCGTGGCTGTGTGTCCACGCACCATCCGGCTCTACGCAACAGTGTCTGTGTCCGTTTGGGGGTACTGAGGCTTGCCGAAGCCCACATCTTCAAGCCTAGAAAGTGCTGCTCAGGGTTAGATTCTCCGGCTGGGAGAATCCCACCTCCCAGGTCACCACCCCCTGTCCCAGCCTCAGTTTCTCCACCTGCTCCCAGGAGAGTCCGAATTCCTCCATCTCCTCGGCAGTCCCAACAGGGTGTGGACCCCAAGGGAGACAGCTGCACCAGGAGGGGAAACAAAGTGACTTTCCGGGTGCATGTTTAAGCCAGGAGCCCTGGTCTGGAGGGAGGAGGGCTGGGCCCAGACACCCCCAGACCAAGGGGTCAGGGAGGCATTGGGGCTAGGGGCCCCCCAAAGTCACACGGAAGGCTTCCCAGAGATGGGCGCGGGAGCCGGACTGGGCTAGGCAGCAGGGCTGCTGGGCAGAGGACAAGGCAGCAGGTGCTCCCGGGGCAGGGGCCCCGCGGGGTGACTGCAAGCCCAGCAGCTGGACTCTTCCCAGGACCCTGGGGAGCTGCAGAGGGTGGATGATCTGGATGGGGCTGTGAGCTGGGCGTCAGGGGGACCCTTCAGGCCGACTGGAGGCACCGCAGCCACCCAGCCGCCCCTTGGTCCCCACCCTGGCCCAGGGCCCACCCAGTGCCTTAAGCTGCCCCCAACCCCCACCCCATCCTTTTCCTGCCCTTGGCTGTGGAGGCTAAGAATAGATCCTCCCTGCCTGGCCCCCACCGGAAACCAGCCCTGGGGGGCGCATCCTGAGCCTGGCCTCTGTTCCCACCATCTGGCCTCCCTAGCCTCCCTAGCTGACTGGGGCGGGGTTGGGGAGGGAGGCCCGGAGGTGGTGGAAGCCAGAGCTGTGTGCAAATCCCACCCACACGTGGCCTTGGATGCCTCATTTCCTCCCTCTGGACCTCCGATTCCCCTTCTTCTTTTTTTTTTTTTTTTAAGATTTTATGTTTTTAAGTTACATCCACACCTAATGTGGGGCTGGAAGTCACAACCCTGAGATCAAGAGTCGTGTGCTCTACCGACTGAGCCGGCCAGGCGCCCCTCAGGCTCCCCATCTTCCCCCCCCCCCCCTCCACTGCCTTGCAGAGTTGCGGTGCTGCCCAGACTCCGTGCAGGTCGAGTGCCCCTCTCTGACGCCTGCTGTGGCCGTTTCCCAGAAAGGACCCTGTCCTTGTTATCTCGGGCAGAGGAAGTGGGAAGGGAGCAGCGTCCCTCAAGTCCCCCCCGACATCTGTAGCCCCAGCTCCACATCCTCTTTCCACCACATCTGCCTTCCTTGCAATTCCCCAAAGCCTCACGCTCCCTCTCCTCCCCAAAGTTTTAAATGTAATTTCTGCCACAACCATATCTCTCTGACCCAGGGGACTCTTATTCATCCTACAAAGCCCCAGTTCTCATACCTTCTTCCCTCAGGATGCCTTCCTGGCTCACCTCTGGGCCGCCCTAAGCCCTGTCACTTCCTCTGGCCCCAGGCTGACCACAGGGGACTGGACTCTGTCCAGCTCTTTCTCCAGCGGGAAGGCATCTTCAAGGGCAGATCTGATGCAGAATTGTCCACCACATGGACCAGGACACAGAGTTGCTCTTGAAGAGGGTTGGGGGTAGCAGGACTGCTTGGGAGAGCACGGCTTTACAAAGGAGGGGGTCTTAGAGCCAGGACTCTGCCAGATGCATAAGAGTTGGGGAGACCCCTTAGCAAGGAGGAGAAGTTAGGGTTAACCACCAGATCCTCAGCGCCTCAGACAATGGAATAGGACAGGGGAGGGGCCGCCTGGAAGGACACAGGGTGTGTGCTAAGGCCCGGAGGCTGGAAGGATGGTAGGGTGGGGAGCCAGAAAAGGGGTATTAGGACACGCAGGATGGGGGGAGGGGGCAGAAGCACGTCCTCCTCACTCAGAGCCAGACCTCCTATGTCCTTCCCAGGCCCCCGGGGACTGGGTGGGGCAGGGTCAAGGCCAAACCAGCTAGTCCTGGCCCACTGCAGGCCCTAACTTAGGGCCAGTGAGGCCCAGGGTCACCCCTTCACTCCAAAATCCTGCCCTCCATGCGGCTTCAGAGGCTGAGCTCAGGCCTGTGGACCCCGTTCGCCCACCTGAGGCCCAACCTCACTTTCCTCCAGCGCAGTGCAGCCTCTGGGGGCTTTTGCTCCAGCCGCGCCCAGCCTGGTCACCCTCTGCTTTTGTGGCTGATGAGACCCTGGCCCAGAGCCCTGGGTCTGGGGGTCTTCAAGGATGCCAGCCCTGCCTGGGAGCCCTTTGCCAAGCCCCGCTCCCAGTTCCCTGGGCTCACCCTCACTCCCTCCCAGGGTGACTGGCCTGGGATTCCTTCTCCATCCGTCACAGGGGTTAGGGATGGAGGGGGATGGGGGACCGACCTCCTCACCCCCCTGCAGGGGGCTCTGTAGGGGCTTGCCTTCTCCAGCTCCACTGCCATCTTCAAGCCTTTGTCCTCACAGGACCCTCACCCTGGGACGCCAGATCCTCCACCACGGCCAGTGGACCTGCTCCGGGAAAGCCTGTCTCGGCAGGATGCCCACAAAGCTGCTCCCTGAGAATGTTGGCGCCCCTCCCCTCTAAACAGACCTGCATTGATTGGGTACCTAATTGTGTGCCAGGCCCCAGCCCACCAGGTTCACCAGCTTGGAGCCCTGGGCCCCTTGGGTGGGGGTCTGGGCGCCTAGGGGGCTGATTCTGCCCGCGGGCTCCGTCCCGCCCCTGCCGGCCTTGGGTGCTGCCCAGATGGTGAATAATGCGGGGCCGGGAGGCGGGAGCGCAAACAGGGGGCCCGGCTCAGGCGGGTCCGGGGCCGAAGGCTCCCGAGTGGGCGGGCGCCGGCCACCCGCATCCCTGTCCCTGAGCCCAGGGGGACGCGCCCACCCCTCCCCCAGGCGGCTGCGCGAGTTCCCGGGAGGGCTGGGGGGTACCCACTGACCCCCATCAACCAGGCCGTGCCAGAGGGGCGTGGCCAGTGCAGGGGGCGGGGCCGGTAGAGACGGACGAGAGACAGAGAGACAAGGACAGGGCGCGGGCTGCGGAGCGGAGCCCCCGGCTTGGGCTATTTTTAGCCCCCTCGGACCCCCCCTTCCGGGCCGCGAAGGCTCGTCGCCCCTCCTCCAGCCCCAGAGCACCTCGCGCACCCCAGCGTCCAGAGCTGCCGTGCCCTCCGTCTGTTCCCTCTGAGGACGTGGCAGCGCCGGGGTCCTCTGGGCGGCCCGCCCCTGGCCGTGACTCGGTTTCCCCGGGGGCCCCGGGAGGCCGGACCGCCCCACTCCCCGCTCCGCCCTCCCAGGCCTGGGCCCGGCGCCCGCCCGCGGGGCTCCGTGACAGGGGCGGCCCCAGCGCGTCCCACCGATCATCGTGTCCAGGTGAGGCTGGGCCCCCAGGTTAGGGGCGGGGCGTGAGAGCGGGCAGGGTGTGTCCCGCGGTGGCCCGCCCTGCTGTGGGTGTGTCCCCCTGGGCCGGTCCCGCGGCCCGGTGCTGGGTGTCCCGGGTGTCGTCGTCGAGAGCGGGTCTGTGTCCGCAGGGGGCGGTTGCGCCCCCCGCTGTCCGCCCTGGGCCCGTCCCAGTGTGGCTGAGGACGTGCTGCGTGTGCGGTTCCCTGGCTGGGCGCTGGGCTGCTCGGCTTTGATGTGGCAGGAAGGGTGCGAGGCGCTGGGTGTGGTCGTGAGCAAGTGTATGCGTGCACATGCAATGGTGGGTCTCAGCACAAGTCCAGACGATCTAACTCGCTGTCCCTCCGAAACCACGGCCAAGGGCTCCGGGGCCTGTCCCTCACCCCACACCCGCCCTCCTGTGCAGCCCCCCTGCCAGCCGAGTGGTGAGCCCTGAGGGCACCCATTGTACAGATAGGGAAACGGAGGCTCACAGGGGTCCCCTGAGTCAGGGCCGAGGCGGGGCTCAGACCTGGTTGGGCTGACTGTGGAGGCCCCACTCTGCGCCCTCTGAGGTGGCGGCCGGGTCGGTGTCACAAACAGGAAAAGTTCCCGGAAATTAAGCCTTGTGGGCTGGTGAGGGGAGGCAGAGGCAGGCTTGGGGACTGACAGGGGCCCTGCCCCTAGGTGTGTGTCTCCGCGGGCGTCTGTGGGCCTCCGCCGTGGGCCTGCGAGGAAGCATCAGGCTGGCCTGGCCCCTGCAGCTTCGTGCCAAAGGGCGGCGGCGGTCACTTGGCCAGCGTTCACAGGACTCAGCAGATGTGCTGGGGGCCGCCGCGGGGCTGCCCCCCATGCACACGGCCAGCCAGGAGATAAGCCCAGAGCGCGCCAGGAGCCGGGGGCGCCGCGGAGGCAGAGGCTCAGTGGGAGCAGGTCAGGCCTGGGGAGGCCAGCCAGAATGCCAGCAGGCGACTTAGTGTCCCCGTTGTCTGCATTTCGCAGAGTGGGGCACACTGAGGCTTGGCGGTGGCAGATCAGGGGCTCCAGTCCGAGTTTGTGGGAGCTCAGCGTCGCCCCTGCGGGGAGTCTGGGTGGGCCTGGAGACAGGCGGCCTCGCAAGCCAGGGGATGGAGTGTTGAGCGGGAGACGGACGTGTTGAGAGATGGCTGGCTCCCCAGAGCGGGAGGAGGAGAGCGGGGCCAGTGGTGACCAACAGGCAGAGGAGGGGCCTGGCACTTGGGAACCAGAGATCACATTCCACGGGGTGGGGCTGGGCTTGGGAGGGCTCGGACTGGAGGGTGTCTGTGCCTCTGAGGCAGGATGGAACCCCCCATGGCCCAGCCTCACCCAGGAGGGCTGATGAGAACTGAGTGTCACACATCCTCCAGGAAGGAGCCAGGAGCTGAGACCCAGGTTCTGGATCCCAGGACTCAGCCACATTCCCATCAAAGTTCTGGAACCTCGGCTCCTTGGAATTCTGGACTCGAGGCCTCCTGGGTTCCAGAACCAGGAGCTCATTGGAAGGACCAGAGCCCTGGTCCTTCAAAGCCCAAACCTCCCTGCTCTTGGGCCATGGAAGCCTGGGTTTGTCCAGCAAATCTGGGGTGGGATTCTGGGACCCGTGCCTCCCATGAGGCACAGAGAGGGAGATGGATTCCCCCTGAGGGCCACACAGGGCTGATTCTGGACCTCACGCTATGTTGACAGTCCCCTGCAGGGTGAGGGCCCTGCCATCCCTCCCAGCCAATTTGGGAGGGGATAGGAGGCCTTGCCAGGGGCCCCTACAGGCCTAGCCCGTGTGCCAGGGAACTTGAGACGACCGCTATCACCTGAACCTGGGGTGGGGTGTGGGTGGGACTGGAAACTACGGGCGTGGCCAGAGGGAGTCATGCAAGTTTCCAGCCTCCCCTGGAGCCAAGGGCTCTGGGTCACAGGTTTGTTCCCAGACAGGGGAGGCATGAGGCGGGCTCAGAGTGTGTGACCCTCGGTGAATGAGAAGTGCATGAGCTCCCACACAGGGTTGGGGCCGTGAGCCCTAGGAGGAGCTGGTGGTCACTCCAGGCTGAGGTCGGGGCAGTGGCCCAAGCACAGCCCAAGTCCCCAGGAAGTTTCAGAAACAGTGCATACCAGCTCTCGAGGGAGAGGGTGCCCGGGCCTAGAGGAATCCAAATGCAGGCCAAATCTGTGATGGCACAGAGCATGCCACTGCTCTGCGGTGGAGGGTAAGATAGAGGTCACCGTGGACCCCACGCAGCTGCCCGCCTCTCTCCGGGCCTCGTTTTCTCACTCCAGGCCCCACCCCGCCCAAGGGGCAGTGGCTTTGGCTCTCGGCCTGGGAGGACAGCTCAGTGCAGTTGTCAGGGGCTGAATAATTTATGAGGAGCGATAAGGAGCCGCTGAGCAGAGGGGCCAGGCCAAGCATCGGTTAGCAAGATGGGGAGCGAGGGCCAGCGTGATGGGAGCGCCCACAGAGGGCTAAGCCCTGTACTCAGCTCATTCCCATCATCCGCCCCATTTTACAGAAAGGAAACTGGAGCTCACAGCAGGGCCAGTGAGAGGGTTCGTGGCAAGGCCTGGATTCAAATCTGACCAGACCCGCTTTTTAGAAAATTCTGTCCCTTGGAGAAAATTCCAGTGATGGCGACCCTCCACACCCACGGCCCCCATCCTCCCTCTGACTAGCAGGCCTACGAATCATTTACACACACTTACCCACAAGGCCTGGATTTGCATCTCAGATCAACTCAGGCCAGGATGCGGGACTTGGACCCCCTCTGCCAAATGGGGGCCGTAGTAGGAGCTTTCTGAGCTCTAAGTGCCTGGCACCTGCGTCCTGCCCACGCCCGCCCACCTGTGCCCGCTCGGCCCTCCCCCCGGGGCAGCCTCACTGGCCACACAGGGACACCTGCGGTGTGGACACAGGGCAGGAGGCCAGGAACCCACCAGCTAGGCCCCAGCCCACCCCCTGATGGCCTCTCTGGTGTGTCCTTCTCGGGCACTGGGAGCTGTTCTCTGAATGGTCGCTCCTTTTATTTCTACGTGACATCCCCACAACTGGTCTATCTGTCCACACTCGCGGCAGCTGGGCCCCAGCGTCTCCAGTGTCCTTCCACAGCCCCACAGGGTAACAGGTCTCTCTTGCTGCCATTTATAGCTCGTCCCAGGGGAGTCTGTCACTCCAAATGAGCTGGGGTTTTTCTGTTGTTCCCAGAATGGAACTGGACTTCTGGGTTTATTTCTCATTATAAAAACAATGCCATGAAAACGGGGGAGGGGGGGCGGGGAAGAATACACACGATCCCAACATGGGCAAGGCAGCATCTTCCAAAAAGGCTGAAGGTGTCGGGCCTCCCACGTCTATGTGGCGCAATCGTGACCCGGAGGCTGACCTTAGAGCCAGTGTGAGAGCCCGTGACCTCTGGCCGCCCGCCCGCTGCCCTCCTCACCTTGGACGCATCCCATCTCCCAGCGGCTGAAATCTGTCCTGGATTCTGCAGTCGGCCAAGGGCTCAGCTGGGTGACAAGCGGGGCCATGGAGCCCAGAGAGAAGAAATCATTTGCCTGGGATCACGCAGGGGGTGCCAGGACTGTGGTTCCAGCCCAGAGTTTCTTGGTTCTTCTCTGTGACCCAGAAAAGACCCTGGGTGTTCTCCGGGGGGCCATGGAGCAGACAGCGCGGGTCCTCACCCTTGTGGGTCACTGAGTCCAGGGCAGGACAGAGCTGGAGGCAGTAGAAGTAGTAATACTGAGTGCGGAGTGAGATGAGTCAGGACAGGCTTCTTCAAAGAGGGGATATTTGAACTGGGCCGTTGAAGATGGTGTAGGAGTTCGCCAGGCCCACTCCGATAAAAATACACAATGAATCACCAGCAGATCTTTTCTCTGCTCCCCCAGGTGTGCCTGAGCCAGCGCCAGTTCTCCCCACCTGCAGCCCCGGCCCGATGGGGTGGTGACCCTCCCCTCCCCGCTCCAGCGCCATGTGGCCCAACGGCACTTCCCTGGGGCCCTGTTTCCGGCCAACCAACATCACGCTGGAAGAGCGGCGCCTGATCGCCTCTCCCTGGTTCGCCGCCTCCTTCTGCCTGGTGGGCCTGGCGTCCAACCTGCTGGCCCTGAGCGTGCTGGCGGGTGCGCGGCAGGGCAGTTCACACGCCCGGTCCTCCTTCCTCACCTTCCTCTGCGGCCTGGTGCTCACCGACTTCATGGGGCTGCTGGTCACCGGCGTGATCGTGGTGTCCCAGCACGCCATCCTCTTCGACTGGCACGCGGTGGACCCCAGCTGCCGCCTCTGCCAGTTCATGGGCGTCATCATGGTCTTCTTCGGCCTCTGCCCGTTGTTGCTGGGGGCAGCCATGGCCTCGGAGCGCTACCTGGGCATCACCCGGCCTTTCTCGCGCCCCACGGTGGCCTCGCAGCGCCGGGCCTGGGCCACGGTGGGGCTGGTGTGGGCGTCGGCGCTGGCGCTGGGCCTGCTGCCCCTGTTGGGTGTGGGCCGTTACACAGTGCAGTACCCCGGCTCCTGGTGCTTCCTCACGCTCGGCGCCCAGCCCGGGGATGTGGCCTTCGGCCTGCTGTTCACGCTCCTCGGCAGCTTCTCGGTCGGGCTGTCCTTCCTGCTCAACACTATCAGCGTGGCCACTCTCTGCCACGTCTACCATGGGCAGGAGGCCGCCCAGCAACGCCCGCGGGACTGCGAGGTCGAGATGATGGCTCAGCTCATGGGCATCATGGTGGTGGCCAGCTTCTGCTGGATGCCGCTGCTGGTGAGTGGCAGGTGGGGGCTCTGCTCGGGGCTCCTGCCACCCTTGGTGACTGGGCTCCAGCTCATCCACAGTGGGTTTATTTATTTATTTTTAAAGATTTTACTTATTTGAAAGAGAGAGAGCGCAAGCAGGGGGAGGGGGAGAGGGAGAGGGAGAAGCAGACTCCCCGCTGAGCAGGGAGCCCGACGCGGGGCTCGATCCCAGGACCCTGAGATCATGACCTGAACCGAAGGCAGACGCTTAACCGACTGAGCCTCCCAGGCGCCCCTCCACAAGGGATTTAAACCCTCAGGTTCTCCTCTACCCAAGAAAACATGGGCACAGACCCGTGTTTGAGTATCCTTCCTTGAGGAGCTCGTGAACAAGACACAGATGACCTCCAAACTGGGTGGCAGGGCTGGGATGCCCGGGGAGGGACTCCAAGGTTCTATCGGGTATCGGAGAAAGTCTTCCAGAGAAGGGGCATTGGGGCTGGGGTTTTGAAGGATACACAGGAGTTTACCTATGAAACAAAACCAAGGAAGGCATTCTAGGTAGTATCACTGAATCATCAAACATTTCCTGAGTCTACTTTGTGCCTAGTTCTAGGCTGAAACCCACTCTGCCCAGATTTTCCGAGTCAGGAGAGCTTGGCTGAAGTCCTTCCACTGATTAGTGTAGTTAGCCATTTGGGGTGGCTCTTTTTCCATTTCTGATTCGATCAGGACACGTCTGGAGTCTGAAGTCAGACACTCGGTTTCCAGCCCATGTCCAACAAGGACTTTGCTGCATGACTCTGGCTCTGGGCTCCCCTCCTCCAGCCTTGGTGTCTGATCATGGGGATTAAAAAGGTGTCTGCCCTTCCGAGTGATGGTGAACTCATTAATCATCTGCTCCTTCCACAAACATTTCATGAGTGACCCCTATGTTCCAGGCTCTGGTCTAGACACTGAGGACGCAGCAGAGAACAGAAGTGACAGAGATCCTTCCAGGAGCTCTTGCCAGTGGGGAAGGCAGACCATAAATATAGCCTATGGATGCAGGAAGCGGTAATTAGTAGGAAGTGAAAAGAACTAGAACAAAAACCAGACCTGCAGGGGTGGCAGATTCGTTCAGTTGGAGGAGCATGCGACTCTTCAGCTCGGGGTTATGAGTTCGAGCCCCCCGTTGGGTGTAGAAATGACTTAAAAATAAAATCTTAAAAAAAAAAAAAACCCTGCAAAAAGAGAGATCAAAAATTTGTTTTTTTGCTTTTGCTCTGGGTTTTTTGTTTTGCTAAGAATTTTTTACAAACGTTAAGTGGTCAGAGAGAAAGTGCAAAGAAGCATCATATTTTGATATTTTGTGACACGTGACAAGGACATGGAATTCAGATTTCCACATCCAGAAATAAAGTCCTGTTAGAACACAGCCACACCCATGTGCTTCCTTGTCGCTTTGAGACTGCACGGCCCTTGAAGAAAAAGTGTACCACCAAAGGGGCCCCAAGAGTCATTTCACGATTCAGGGAGATTCTACCTGGGATGCCTTCCTGGGTTTTATCTAGCAGTGAAACTCCTACCCATGCTTCAGAGCCCCAGCTCCAATGGTTCAGAGCAGAACAGGGCCCATTCTGGGCGTCCTAAGAGACTGGGGCAGATCATGGTCAGGGACTTCTCGGTGAAGGTGACATTTGAGCAAAGACATGGTGGAGGTGAGGAAGTGAACTGTGTGTGGAGATCTGGGGGTGGGAGCATTCCAGGAAGAGGGCACAGCACATGCAAAGGCCCTGGGGCAGGACCCTGCCTGGCATATTGGAAGATCAATGAGGAGGAGCAGAGTAGGTGAGGGAGAGAGAGGGAGGAGGGGAGGGTGGGGAGGGGATAGGTCGTGCGGGGCCTAGGGGACCGCAGGGAGGATGTGGGCTTTTCCACCCAGGAGGTGGGAGCCCTGGAGGACTGTGGGCAGAGGAGGGTGGGACCTGACTCAGGTGCTGCCCAATAAATATTAAGAGTAATAATAATAGGGGTGCCTGGGTGGCTCAGTCGGTTGAGCGTCTGCCTTCGGCTCAGGTCATGATCCCAGGGTCCTGGGATCGAGCCCGCATCGGGCTTCCTGCTCCTTGGGGAGCCTGCTTCTCCCTCTCCCTCTGCCTGCCGCTCCCCCTGCTTGTGCTCTCTCTGTCAATATAAATAAATAAAAATCTTAAAAAAAAAAAAGTAATAATAATAATAAGTGAATATGTAAATACCCTCAGATCCATGAGAACAGGCCTGGGAAGGGCACCCCAAGGACAGGACAAGAGCACATTTGCCAGCCAGAAGCAGCATTCTGTGGCTGTGGCCCCCGTGGGAACCCATCAGTGCCAGCAGCTGGGACCCACCCCAGGAACCGGCTCCTTCCCTCCCCTGGAGATGCACACGCCTGTCACCTCACAAGGACCCTGACCTCCAGCAGACTCGTCCATGCTGCTGCACATCGCTCTCCTCCCTGCCCCCCAGGGACGCCCAGAATGGGCTCTGTCCTGCTCTGAACCATTGGAGCTGGGGCTTTGAAGCATGAATAGGAGTTTACTCACCAGGCATAAGGGAGAAGGCGTCCCTTCCCTTAGGTAGAAGCGCTGAATCATTAAAAAAAACCCTGAGTCCCCTTTGTGGGCAAACTTTTCCATAAAGGGCCATATGGTAAATATTTTTATTTTATTTATTTTTTTTTTAAAGATTTTTATTTATTTATTTGACAGAGAGAGAGATAGTGAGAGCAGGAACACAAGCAGGGGGAGTGGGAAAGGGAGAAGCAGGCTTCTGGCCGAGCAGGGAACCCGATGCGGGGCTTGATCCCAGGACCCCGGGATCATGACCTGAGCCGAAGGCAGATGCTTAACGACTGAGCCACCCACGTGCTAAATATTTTAAATGTGGCGTGTGTCACAGACACTCAGCTCTGCTGGCCCATCGGGGCAGGAAAGCAGCCACCAGAGGCAAATGGGCGTGGCTGTGTGTCTGTAGGACTCCATGTGTGGACACCGGGATTTGAATCTTGTGTCATTTTCACCTGTCACAAATGCCCCCCTTGCGAGTTTTTCTCCCACTATTGGCACCAGTAAAATCATTCTTAACAAAACAAAAAGCCAAATGAAAAGACAAGGCAAACAAAACAGAAAGAGGTGGAAGGCCAGATTTGGCCCACGACCAGCCCCTGCCCTAAAGCCTCCCCGGGCTCCCCACTGCCCCAGAAGATAGGCCCACAGACACTGCCTTCAAACTTGCCTGGGGAACCCCTGTGTGCCAAGCGGCTTCTGCCCCCAGGTCAGCTCCGGCGCCCACTCTGCCTCCCACGGGGCCCTCCTCGCTCCCCCCATCATGGCTCTGTCACCCCCACCCGCACGCTGGGACTGCCTTGCCACCATGCTGGCGGGGCTGCAAGCCTGTGCCAGAGGGACCTGGTCTGTTGTGGCTGGTGCAGTGTCCCCAGCTTTGCCCAGCACGCAGTAGGTGCTCAGGAAACAGTAAGATAATTTTTTTAAGATTTTTTTTTTAAAGATTTTATTTATTTGACACAGAGAGAGAAAGAGAGCACAAGCAGGACGAGCAGCAGGGAGAGGGAGAGGGAGAAGCAGACTCCCCGCTGAGCAGGGAGCCCAAGGCGGGGCTCGATCCCAGGACCCTGGGATCACGACCTGAGCCGAAGGCAAACGCTTAACTGACTGAGCCACCCAGGCACCCCTAAAAAGATCTTATTTTTAACTAATCTCTACGCCCAGCGTGGGGTTTGAACTCACAACCCCAAGATCAAGAATTGCACAGTCCACCGACTGAGCCAGCCAGGTGCCCCAACATGAATATAATTTCACCATAATCATTTATTTTAATATAATACTTTACTCAATATGAATTATAATTATACTTGACAATATAAAATTTAATTATAGTTATAAAATATACATTATAACTATCACATTGTTATTGTATTATAATTCATATTTAATTATATAAATTATATAGTTATAATGGTAATATTATATAATTTTAAATACTATATAATATATAGCTCCAATATATTACAATAATGATAATTAACAATATATTAATTGTTAAATAATTAATTTCTTACATAATATTTGTAAATAACATATGACATATGCCATACTAAACATAAATTTCAAAAGTAATAAAAATGAATAATTCAATATACAAATGTAATACAGAATTATTTAATATAAAACCATGTCATGAAATTATATAAAATATAAGTTTTAATATAATATAAAATTATTTAAAATAAAACATATAGGGCGCCTGGGTGGCTCAATCGGTTGACTATCTGCCTTCGGCTCAGGTCACGATCCTGGGGTCCTGGGATCGAGTCCCGCATCGGGCTCCCTGCTCTGAGGGGACCCTGCCTCTCCCTCTGCCTCTCTCTCTCTCTCTCTCATAAATAAATAAATAAAATCTTTAAAAAAATAAATAAAATAAAACATAGAATATAAAAATTAAATATTTAGTGTGCAATTGAATAGTATAGTTTTTTTTTTTAAGATTTTATTTATTTATTATTTGAGAGAGAGAATGAGAGAGAGAGAGAGAGCATGAGAGGGGTAGTCAGAGGGAGAAGCAGACTCCCCGCCGAGCAGGGAGCCCGATGCGGGACTCGATCCCGGGACTCCAGGATCATGACCTGAGCCGAAGGCAGTCGCTTAACCGACTGAGCCACCCAGGCGCCCCTGAATAGTATATAGTTTTATATTGTAAAATGTTTATAAATGGTAACGTGTTTAAGAGGATAATAACGCGGGCAGTGACTCACCTGCCCACACCTGTGAGTCTTCTTTCCCACTGTGTTTACCTGCCCCCAGGACATGGGCAGGAAAACTGCGCTATTTTCCAGCCACATCAACAGAAGCTCAGAGAGGTTGGGCAGCCCTCCCCAGGTCACACAGCAAGGCAGTGAGAGAAGTCCCCCCAATCTCGGCGGTGGGGGGGGTGTCTCGCAGGGGCTGCGGGGGCCCCGGCTAACTGCTCTGACCCCCGGCAGGTCTTCATCGCTCAAACGGTGCTGCGCAGCCCTCCCACCATGAGCCCCACGGGGCAGCTGTCCCGAGCCACCGAGCAGCAGCTGCTCATTTACCTGCGTGTGGCCACCTGGAACCAGATCCTCGACCCCTGGGTGTACATCCTGTTCCGCAGGGCCGTGATCCGGCGCCTCCACCCTCGCCTCAGCGCCAGGCCCAGGTCGCTGTCCCTGCAGCCACAGCTCACCCAGAGACGCACAGTGCAGTAGAGCCCAAGGGGGCGGCCGCACGGAAACCGCCCCCCAGCCGGCGCGTCCCTCCCGAGATCTCCCTCCTCCTTGACGGTCACAGCTGCCTGTTATGGGGTTCCAGGAGCTGGGAGTATCAGAAGGACCAAGCCTTTGAACGGCAGGATCGTGGGCTGTCCTCCATCAGCGTTGGGGACTCCCCAACTCTTCCCCATCCCCCTGCCCACCCCAGGAAGGGTGGGCAGGCATGTTGGGGGGGGTGTGAGGAAACGAGACTTGCAAACCTCCCCTTCCAGAAATCCTCTGGGAATGGGGGACTCCGAACCCTGACTTTGACCTGCTTCCTGGGGTACAGTTGATTCCCTTGGACACCCCAACCCGAGAAGCCTCTGCTTAGGAAATACTGAATGTGCACAGTCAACACACCCCCTCTCTTGCCAAAATATATCTTGGCCCCCCAGCCTTACTTTCGTTTGGGTCTGGGAGTCATCAGTCTTTAAAGTTGGCGCATCAGATCGCTGTTCCACCGTGTGCCCACGGCCAGCAGCTGGAGCAGAGCTGGGGGTGGGGCGGGGCAGAGGGGGGACCTGTTTTTTTTTTTTAAGATTTTATTGATTTATTTGACAGAGAGGGAGGCGGCGAGAGAGGGAACACAAGCAGGGGGAGTGGGAGAGAGAGAAGCAGGCTTCCCGCCGAGCAGGGAGCCCGATGCGGGGCTCGATCCCAGGACCCCGGGATCATGACCTGAGCTGAAGGCAGACGCCCAGTGACTGAGCCACCCAGGCACCCCTGGGGGTACCTGTTTTTTTCACTCAACGCTTCAGACTCCAGCGCCTTGAGCAAACAGCACCTGGCCCATAGTAGGTGCTCAATAAACATCAGTTGAAGGGACAGGTGATTGAGCCTTTGCAGGGCACCTGTATCACTTAGTAAAGGGCTTGGCACACAGCAGCCGCTTAGGAAGCATCCAGTGTGGTCATCTGTGCCCCCTAAACTCTCATGCCTGCCCCTTCCTCTGCCTTCCCATGAACTCCCCCAAAAATGACACACCCAGCTGCAAGGAGAGGTGCCTTTATTCCCCATGAGCCCTCGAGGTACATGAGGACAAGATTGCCTCCTGCCCCCCATTTCTCCACCTCCTGCCCACATGCCCCCTCCACACACACACCCAGCTTTCCACTCCACAGACCTAGGATCTGCTTACACCTCCCAGAGCCAGGCCCAAGTGAAACTAAAGCCCCTGTTTCCACTCTCCCTACTCCCCCCACCCCTACCTGCTGGGGGAATGAGGTCACCTGCTGCTTCCAGGGGACCCAGGCTGGGAGGGGCCAGAGACAGGATGGGGGGATCTTGGAAGCCAAAACTGTGTCACCCTCAAGCTACAGCTCCCCTTGGTGGGGGAGGGGCTCTGACCCCCAAGGAGCAGGCCCTGACTCCTTGAGCGTGTGGGAGGGGACAGGCCTCTGGGCTAGGGATTCAGGGGTCTGGGAATGCAGGAGGACTGCCCTGGGGGCAGAACTAGAGATGACAGATATGGTGGGTGGGGTGGACTTCCGGGGTCCTAGCTGGGGCTTGGGGAAGAGGACCGGTTTCTGGGGGGCTGACGGGATCTGTGGCTGTGGGGCCAGGTGGGAAGTTGGTGAGCTTCGGCCCAGGCCAGTGTTGGCCTGCGTTCCATGTACCAGATCATGGGGCTGGGGCTGCGGCTGAGAGACTGTGCTAGGGCCCAGAGTTGGAGCTCTGCGTGGTGGGCCTAGGGGCTGATGCTGGGCTGGGCGAGTGAGATCAGCCTCGGTTCTAGGGTCAAGGCGAGGGGTCTGTAGGTGGAGCCCATTTCTAGAGCTGAGCTGGATCTTTGAGCTGGTCTGGGTTCTGGAGCTGGTCTGGGTTCTGGAGCTGGACTGGGTTCCAGAATAAGGTTGGGTTCTGGAACTAAGGTAAGTTCCAGAGCTGGGCTGAGTTCTTGAACTGCTCTGGGTTCCAGACTTGGGCTGGATCTCAGGGCTGAGCTGAATCCGAGAGCTGGGCTGGGTTCTGGAGCTGAGCTGGGCTCCAGAGCTGGGCTGAATTCTTGCACTGGGCTGGGTCTCTGAGGTGGGCTGGGCTCCAGAGTTGAGCTGCGTTCCAGAACTGATCAGGGTTCTGGAGCTGGGTTGGGTTTCAGAGCTGAGCTGCATCTCAGAGCTGAGGCAGGTCTCAGAAGTAAACTGGGTTCTCGAGCTTAGCTGGGCTCCAGAGCTGGGTTGAATTCTTACACTGCTCTGGATCCCAGAGCTGGGCAGGGTCTTGGAGCTGAGCTGGGTTCCAGAACTAGTCTGGGTTCTGGAGCTGGGTTGAGTTCCAGTAAGAGGCTGGATTCTAGAGCTGAGGTGAGTTCCAGAGCTGGGCTGCATTCTTGAACTGGGCTGGCTTCCAGAGATGGGCTGTGTCTCAGAGCTGAACTGAATCCTGTGACTGAGCTGGGTCTCAGAGTTGAGCCAGGTCTCAGGGCTAGACCGAGTTCTGGAGCTAAGGTGGGCTTTAGAGCTGGGTTGGATTCTTACACTGCTCTGGGTCCCAGAGCTGGGCTGGGTCTTGGAGCTGAGCTGGGTTCCAGAACTGGTCTGGGTTCTAGAGCTGGACTGGGTTCCAGAAACAGGCTGGGTTCTGGAACTAAGGTAAGTTTCAGAGCTGGGCTGAGTTCTTGAACTGCTCTGGGTTCCAGGCTTGGGCTGGGTCACAGGGCTGAGCTGAATCCTGGAGGTGGGCTGAATGCTTGCACTGGGCTCAGTCTCTGAGGTGGGCTGGGTCTCAGGTCTGAGCTGCGTTCCAGAACTGATCAGGGTTCTAGAGCCGGGTTGGGTTTCAGAAACAGGCTGGGTTTTAGAATCACTCTGGGTTTCCAAGTTGGGCTGTGTCTCAGGGCTGGAGTGAATCGTGGAGCTGGGCTGGGTTCCAGAGATGGAGTGAATTCTCGAACTTATCTGGGCTCCAGAGCTTGGCTGAGTTCCAGAGCTGGTCTGCTTCCCAAAGTCTGGCTGAATACCAGAGCTGCCTTGGGCTGTGGCTTGGAGCTGGTATCTAGAACTTGGTAGGGTTTCCGAGATGAGCTGAGTTCCAGAAGTTGACTGAGCTCCTGGACAAGTCTGGGTCCTGGAGCTGGGCCTGCTTTCAGAGCTAGACAGATTTGCAGAGATTACGTCTGTTGCTGCATTGGTCTGGGTCCCAAGGCTAGACTGGATTCCAGAGTTTAGCTGGGTTCTTGAACTCAGTGGGGTCTCAGCAACTGACTGTGTTTGGGAGCTGGATGGGATTTCAGACCCAGTCTGTGCTTCAGAATTGAGCTGAGTTCTGCAGCTGGGTGGAGTGCCTGAGCTGGACCGAGCTCTGGAAATTGCCCAGGTCTTAAAATTGTTCTGGGTCCCAGAGTTAGATGGCATTCTAGAGCTGGTCTGCGTTCTGCAGTGAGAGCGGGGCTCGGCATCAGGCTTAGCTCTGGAGGCAGGCCTTGCCTCAGAAATGGATGGGGTTCCAGAGCTTGTCTGAATTCTGGAGATGGGCCTGGTTGTAGCACCAGGGTGGGGTCTAGAACTGGACTCAGTCTCTGAGCTGAACTCATCACTGGAACCAGACCAGGCCCCAGGATGGGGGTGGGTACTTGAGTGCAGTTGGGTTTTAGAGCAGGGCTGGGATCTGGGTCTGGACTGAGCTGCAGCATGCATCTGGGCTCGTGAGCAGGGTTGGGTTTGGGAGCCATCTTCCAGTCCTGAACTGGTGTGGCTACTGTTGCTGGACTGTTTCTGGAGTCTGAGCTGGGCTCCAGAATTAATGGGAGTTCCTGAGCTAGACCGGGTGTCTAGGTATGGCTGAGTCATGGGGTTGTCTTGAGTTCCAACATCAGACTGAGTTTTATGGAAGGGCTTGGTCATAGATCTGGGCTGGCTTCCAGAACTGGGACTGATCTCAGAGCTGGGCTGTGTCTTAAAACTTATCTGGGATCCAGACCTTAACTTGATTTCGGAGCTTGGTTTAGCTTCAGAGCTGTCTTGGGTTCTAGGAAAGGGCTGGGTTTTGGAGCTGGGTTGGGTCTCAGAACTAAATTGCATTCTAGCGATGAACTTTGTCTCAGGGTTGGCCTGGGGTCTAGAACAGGGCTTGGTCTCAGAGCTAGGCTTAGTCTCATAACTGAGCTTGGTTCTAGAGCAAGACTTGACCTCAGAGCTGGGCTTGGTCTCAGAACTGGTAGGGGTTCTAAAGGTGAACTTGGTCTCAGAGCTGGCCTGGGGTCTGGAGGGGGGCTGAGTTTTTGAGCTGGGTTGGGTCTCAAAAGTGGATTGGGTTCCAGAGATAAACTCAGCCTCAGAGCTAGCCTGGAGTCTAGAGTAGGGCTTGGCCTCAGAGCTGGGATTGGTCTTGAAATTGGTAGGGGTTCTAGAGGTAAACTCGGTCCCAGAGCTGGCCTGGGCTCTAGAGCGAGGATGGGTCTCAGATCTGGGCTGGGCTCTGGTGCAGAGGTGGGCTTCGGGAACTGGCCAGGAGGGCTGGGGCAGGGGGCTGGGCTCTGGGCTGGGGCTGCGCTCGGCCCCAGGGCAGACTAGCCACAGGCCTCCCTGGCCTCGCCTATGGCGGCCCACACCTCCACCACAAACTCGTCCGGGAAGGCGAACTCGCCCAAGACGGAATCTAAACGGTGTGCAAATTCCTGGACGCTCAGCGTCTTCTTGGAGGTGTCCACCATGGTGGATGCTGCAGGCCAAGCAGGAGGGAAGGCTGGTGAGGGTGCTCCTTGGGCCGTGACTTCCTCCTGGGGCCTCTGACTCCTCCCTGTGGGCTGTCCTCCCCCCAGGGTCCACCCAGCTTACCCTGGCCCCTTACCCAGCTCTGGGTCCCGAATGCCCATGTAACTCTCCAGCAGGTCATCCACCCTCCGTGATGCTTCCTCCTCAAATTTGCTGGGCTGGGGCGGGGAACAGCAGAGGGTCAGAAGTCTGGGATCCCTCCAGCCCAGCCCCTCCGCAGGCCCCACCCCTGCGGTGAGAGCGGAGCGGAGAGTCAGCACTCTGTGCCAGCACTCCCATCCTGCCTTGCATGGAGGACCCATTTTGCGGGTAGGGGAGCCGGCTGGACAAAGGAGAGGGTCTTACCCAAGGTCCCACTGAGTCAGCTGAATGCTCCGTGTAAGAGCGCCTGAAGACTCCCTTCCCCTTCACTCACCACTTCCTCCACTGAGGCAGACCCCCCAGAACGAAGACGCAGGGTCTCCCTCCCACTGGTCACCTTCGGTTCCATGGGGCATTTGCTGCCCCTGCTCCTCTGGGCGATCATATCTGGAGGGGACAGAGCGGGGGAGGGGCATGTGTTCTGGGCGGATCCACATCTGCGTAAGCCTCAGAGGTTACCAGCTGAGCCTTTCTAGAATCTTCTTATCCTTCAAAGCCCCCTTATGTCCATGGGTGAATCTTCAGAGACCCAGCTTGAGAATCCCCCCGAATCACCCTCCTCTTTTTTATTTATTTTTATTTTTTAATGTTTTTTAAATAATCTACTCCCAGCATGGGGCTCGAATTCACGACCCTGAAACCAAGAGTCACGTGTTCCCGGACTGAGCAGGCCAGACATCCCCGTCCCTCCTGCTTTGTTTTGTTTTGTTTTGTTTTTGAAGATTTTATTTATTTATTTGACAGAGAGAGACACAGCGAGAGAGGGAACACAAGCAGGGGGAGTGGGAGAGCGAGAAGCAGGCTTCCTGCCGAGCAGGGAACCCCATGTGGGGCTCGATCCCAGGACCCCGGGATCATGACCTGAGCCAAAGGCAGACACTTAACGACTGAGCCGGCCAGACACCCTTGTCCCTCCTGTTTTTAAAATGACTCTCTCTAGAAGGGACTGCTTGAGATCCTCCTGTAGCCAGAGGGTCAATCTAGAAAAGACTTTGTCTAGAATTCAGTCCTAACGTTTGGGCATGGCTCTTGGAGTCCATTGCTCTGCTAAAGGGCAGATCTGGAACCCCACCCTGTCCCATTCTCCCTGGGACCTCTCTCCAGATGTGCCCGGGAGTTTCTAGAACCTCTTGCTGGAGAACAGCACTACTCAAAGGGCCAGTCCATAATTAAATAAGAGAGTGGTGCCGGAATGGAAAGCGACAGGCTGGTTCCGTCCTTGAGAAAGTCGTGCTGTAAAAAAACGACCTGCTGCTAAACAGGATGGTCTACATTCTAAAGCAGAGGTTCTCAACCCCAGGGCAGGGGTGGGTGATTTTGCCCCCAGGTGACATTGATGATATCTGGAGACAGTTTGGTTGTTACGACCTGATGGCTGCCATTGGCATCTGCTGGCTCAAAGCCAGGGGCGCTGCTCAGCATCCTATGGTGCACAGGATGGTCCGCACTGCAGAGATGAGTTGGCCCATATATCACTACTGCTGAGGTGGAGAAACCGTCCTCGAGAGCAAGTCCCTTGTCTCATGCACGGACAGGTCACAGACTTCTCTTTGAAAAGCACCATTCTCAGGGTGCCTGGGTGGCTCAGGAGGTGAAGCATCGGCCTTGGGCTCAGGTCATGATCTCAGGGTCCTGGGATCGAGTCCTGCATTGGGCTCCCTGCTCAGCGGGGAGTCTGCTTCTCCCTCTGCCACTCCCCACCCCTCGTTCTCTCTCTCTCTTAAATAAATGAAATGTTTTTTTTAAAGCACCATTCTAGAACTCACTTGGAAAAACATTCTCTAAAATCATAGCCTAAAAGCAGTACTTTAAAAGCTCCTAGCCAGGTTACAAAATAGGTCCAGACACCTCCTCATCCTATCCCCATCTTTCCAAACTCCCCTGCCCCCATCCCTGGATTGACTCTAACAATCTAGAAACTACCTACCCATTCCTGACACCGTGCCAGAAGCCCCCTGTCATGTCACCAGAGGCGTCTAGAACCTTCCATCCTGTCCCATTCCCCTCACCCCCCCACGCTCCCATCCTCCACTGTGTTCACTGGGCATCCAGAGAACCCGCTTCTGGAAGAGCTCCTCACCACCACCCCACCTGCCCCCTGGACCCCAGGTGGCCCTCACCGAAGGCTCTCTTGGGCTGCACCAGGCGCAGGGTGAAGGGCTGGGACTTGGGCAGCTCCCGGAGCATCTTGGCTACCTCGTAGTGGCGACAGCCCACGATGGAGTGGTCGTTGATGGCCTCAATGCTGTCGCCCACGCACACAGCCTGGATCCGGTTGATGATGCTGCCCTCCTTGATCCTCTGCAGGGACCCAGAGTCACTCACGAGGCCACCCCAGCCACCCTCCTCGGCTTCCCAGAGCCCAGGTTAACCAGACAGGGGCAGTGGCTCATCCCAGGTCCCCGAGCACGCAGGTAGTCACCCGCCCTCCGGGGGCACCTTGATGAAGGCGTAGCCGGCCCCATTGTCCGTGATGGTCAGTCCCAGGGCATCTTCGGTCTTAGTGACCTCCACCTCCTTGGTCTCGCCGCGCACGTGAGCAAAGATAAAGTCCTCCAACCCTATCTGGCCGCCCAGGAGTTTCTGCATGTCCACTTTGTGGCTGTTTAGGGTACAGAATAAGATCTGTCCCAAGGGGAGGGGGAGCGCAGAATTAAGGACAGCGCTCATCACCCTCTGTCTGTGCAGAACAACCAGGGTGATGGGTTCAGGAGCCTGAGAGGGAAACCGAGGCACAAGGAGGCATGAAACTGGCCTGGTTACCCAGCCACCAGGATCCCAGTCCACCAGAAAACGCGGGGCATGGGACCCTCAGAATGGGGTGGGGTACAAGAAGGAGTCTGAGACCCTCAGGATGGGGAGCAGGGAGCTGTGGGCAGGAAGAGACCCCTCCCTCACCCCTAAGACTTTCAGTTTTAACCCGTTGGTGCCCTGACATCCCAGACCAACTTGTTCAGTCGATTCTGAATCTGCTGGCGCCCCCTGGGGGCTACGAGTCGTACAGCCCAGCAGCCCAGGCCCTGACCCCACCCCCACCCCCCCACCCCCGGGCCTCGGACTTCGCACCTGGAAGGGGGCTGCCTGGAACCCCAGCCCCCAGCCGCGCCCAGGAACCACAGAGGCGCTTACCCGAGGGCTGGGATCCACTGTTAGCTGGTTCAGCGCAGTGGGTTCCTGGACAAGCTAAGGATCCACTCACCCTAACCCGGGCTCCCCTTTTGCGCAGGGCCTGCGAAGAGGTTCTCTGGGGTATGGGAACCCCAGGATCTGATGGGTGTGTCTCTGAGATCTGGTGATCGGATCCCCTCCATCCGAGGAGGGGGGATCCGGGGCCCCCAGTCCCGGGTTCCAGGCTCCACCCCTATCCCGGGTCAGATGGGTGGGCCTCTGGCGCCGGGAGGGGTGGAGCGGGGGTTCGGGGGTCCTCACCTCTGTGGGCGAGATCCCGAAGGCCTCGGCGATCTTGGCGTAGAGCTCGCGGACGTTGGTAAAGCCCTCGATCTTGCCCGTGGGGCTGCCGTGCGCCAGCTGCGTGCGGAAGACCAGGCGCGGACGGGCGCGGGGCGCGGCTGGGGGCTCCGCGGGCGAGGGCGGGGGCGCGGACGGGCGCGGGGCCTCGGCACCCCGGGTCTCTTGGGCCGCGGCGCTCTCCATGGCAGGAGGAGCTGGGCCACCCCGGCCACCGCCACAGCCGTCGCCGCCGGATCCGCCGCTTCCTGCAGCCTCCCCTCCCCCGGCCCAGGGCGTGACAGCCGAGCCGCTGGGGTAAGGGGATCCGGGAATCCGAGCCGCCCGGGAAGGCGACACCGCGGGCTGCGGAGGGGGGTCTGGCCCCAGGTGTCCGGGCCCTGCCAGGGCCAGCCAGCTGCGCGCTCCTGGGGGACGCCGGGCAGTCCCCCAGGGGCCTGAGCTGCAGACTGGGGAAAAACAGGGATCACCAATGAGGACATAAACAGCTGAGCGTGAGGAGCGCTCACTGTCTGCTAGGCGCGCTCATTTAATCCTTGCAACAACCCTAGAAGGGGGCAGGACAGCCATACCCTGTCCCTGCTTCGACACATCCTTCCAGTGCTCAGTCCTTCCCGGGGAGGTAAAAGCCCAAGTCCACCCTGAGGCCCACCAGGCCCTGCACAACATGCCCCGTCCCCCCCACCACCCTACCCTCCTCCCCATCTCCCCCTCGCTCCTGCTACTCCAGCCATACCGGCCTCTTTGCCTTTTCTCTAATGCCAGGCTGGGTCCTGCCACAGGGCCTTTGCACATGCTGTTCTTTCTGCCTGAACGCCATCTCCCAAGTCATCCACCTGGTTTCCTCCCTCACCTCCCTCAGCTACTTGCTCAAATGTTGCCTCCTCCTTCCACCTCTCAATCTCTTTTCCCGGATTTTTCTCCCTGGTATCAAGCACTACCTGATAGATCAGCTGTTTACTTACTCATCTTGTATCCTGACTGTCCCCACCACTAGAATGTTAGCTGCAGGAGGGCAGGGGTTCTGGTCTCTTTTTCCCCCTGCCGTATCCCGGTGCCCCGTGCCTGGCAGACAGCAGGCACTCAGGCAATCTTTGGTGAGGGAATGAATGAACCCCCAGGTTACAGATGAAGAAGAAGGGAAGGAGGCTGTGGGCACCAGGAAGCATCTGTAAGAATCCCCTGGGACCACAGCACGGAGGCATCCAACAAGAATTTCGGCTCTTATAATAAACAGCAATGGAATGCCATATAGTGGTGCAAAAGAGGGGCCTCCCGCCTTGGGAGAATCTCAGAAACCAAGCGTTAATGGGAAAAGGCAAGTTGCAGAAAGCTTTGGACACTGTTAAGAAAATGTGTCAAGTTTAAAAGCCCGCAAAACACGACACACATTATGACATGGATGAGCCTTGAACACACGACGCCCAGGGAGGGAACCAGACACGGAAGGCCACACAGGGTGTGAGTCCACGTGGGTGACACGCCCAGAACAGGCTCATCCACGGACGGGAAGTGGGTTTGTTTCTGTCAGGGGCTGAAGGAGGTGGGAGGGGCAGTGACTGCTAAGGGGTACAAGGCTTCTCTTTAGGGTGACGGAAGTGTTCTGGAATTAGATTGTGCTGATGGTTGCACAAGTTCGTAAATATACTAGAAACCAGAGAACTGTACACTTTAAAAACCTTTAAGAACTGGGGCGCCTGGGTGGCTCAGTCGTTGAGCGTCTGCCTTCGGCTTAGGTCATGATCCCAGGGTCCTGGGATCGAGCCCCACATCGGGCTCCCTGCTCGGCAGGAGGCCTGCTTCTCCCTCTCCCACTCCCCCTGCTTGTGTTCCCTCTCTCGCTGTGTCTCTTTCTGTCAAATAAATAAAAATCTTTAAAAAAAAAAAAACCTTTAAGAACTGAACAAGAAAACCAAACCCTGTCAAAACGGTACTCTTCTAGGAAGACATACTTACGTGCTACAGTAGATAAAGACTTGCCTGATAAACTCCAAATTTGGGATGGGGGTACCTGTGCCGGGGGGGGGGGGACAAGGGACCTGGGGTGGGGAGGTGACAGTATCTGGTTGTGTTTGTCTCCCGGGGCAGCCATAACAAAGGCCCACAAGCTGGGGGGCTTAAAACAACAGGGATTTACTCTCTCTGTTGGGGGGGGGCCCGAAGTGTGACATCAGCTTGTCAGCAAGACCACGCTCCCTCTGAGACCTCGGCAGAGCCCCTCCCTGCCTGTCCTAGCTTCTGGTGGTGGCTGGCACTCCTCGGCGCTTTCTGGCAGCTTGCATTGTTCCCATTTCTGCCTCTGTGGTCACATGGCTGTCTCCTGTGTCTGTGTCCGAATCTTTATCTTCTTATAAGGACACCAGTCATATTGGATCAGGGGCCCACCCTACTCTGCGATGACCTCATCCTAACTAATTATATCTGCAATGACCCTATTTCCAAATAAGGTCACATGCTGAGGACTGGGGTTTAGGGCTTCAGCGTATCTTTTGAGGGGACATGATTCAACCTGATACAGGCATTTGTCTAATTATTCTCCCCCAATATTTAAGATGTCTTAAATATTGCATTACACAAAAAGTCTCAGAGAGGATTCCTCAGTCAGGCAAGCGCAGAATCCCCCTAGGAGCAGCAATTCCATTCCTGGGAGGTAGTTTGCAGAAGTGAAAGCAGGTGTTCAAACACCTGTCACACACTATACACAGCAGGACTCAAAGGAGCCGGAAGGTGTAAACGACCAAAATGTCCATCAATGGGTGAAGGGATAAACAAAATGTGGTCCGTCCACATATTGGAATATTATTCGGTCACGAAAAAGAGGAAGGGGCCCACACGCACGGCCCTGGGAATGGACCCCGAGCCCACGACGCTCAGGGAGGGAACCAGACACAGAAGCCACACGGGGTGTGAGTCCACATGGGTGACACGTCCGGAACAGGCTCATCCATGGACGGGAAGGGGACTCGCGGGGGCCGGGGCTGGGGAGAAGGTGGGGAGTGACCGTTGATGGGGGCGGGGATGCTCAGGGAGGGAACCAGACACGGAAGGCCACGCGGGGTGTGAGTCCACGTGGGTGACACGTCCGGAACAGGCTCATCCGCAGACGGGAAGGGGGCTCATGGAGGCCGGGGGCTTGGGGAGGGCAGGCCTGGGACGCCCAGCAGGGGCATCTTGGGGGCCCTGGGCACATCTTCTAGCCCACCTCCCACCCCACCCCCCCAAAAAAACATTCACAGGCTTGGAAATTCAAATTCCACTTTTTTTACTTAAAAAGTCCAGATTGAGCAAAGGTAGAGGATGCCTCTGCAAGGGTCCCTCATCTGGATGAGGGAGGGGAGGGTCAGTACCAGCCCCCCCAATTCTGGGGTGCAGGAATCTGAGGGCCAGAGGGTCCCGCCCCAAGTATGAGAGCATGTCCCTGCAGCGTGCCTGCCTGGGGCGGGGGGGGGGGGGGCACCTGTGGTGAGCACCTGCTGGGGGTCCCAGCGGGTCGGGGGTGGGGTTTTCTACCTTGTCCCTGGGCCGGTCCTCGAGATCCGGTGTAGCAGGTATAACCGTCCCCACCCTGGGCGTGCCAGTGGCTGTGGGTCCCCTTGTGTCCTGGGTTCCGCAGCCCCTGTGCGGCTCCCACGTCCCTGTAGTGTGATGTGCAAGGGGAGCAGGCCTTGCTGGGCCTTGGGGCTCCGGGTTCTAGGCGTGTCATGTACAGCAGGTGATTTTTCTGGGTTCAGGGTGCTGGGGGAATTGAAAGCTAGAGGGATGCTGTAGCAATTTAATTTTAGGGGGGCTGGAGCCCCCAAGGTGCAGGATTGGGCATGGCCCCAAAAGGTGGACCCCCAATCCTCCTCCATGGGGTGGAGAAGGGGCCATGACCAAAGCTTGGTCTTCTCTGGATCCGTGGGGCGGCGGACACCCTCATAGGTGCTCACTGTGACAGGAGAGAAGGGGGGGACTCGTGATGGGGAACCCCCATCTTTTATCAGCCCTGACCCCCAGGATGGGGATCACCATAGGCCACCAACCCTCAGTTCTTCCAAACAGATGCCATGGTGGGGGCCAGGAGTCCATCCCACCTAGCCAGGACAGCTGGAAGCCACCCAGAAAAACCCACGAGCAGCTGGGGGGACGTTCTCGCCCCCCCAGTGGATCCCACCGGCCAAGAGGGATTGGCATTTCCCGCCCAGCAGCATTCATAAAGTCCCCGATCTGATCGGCGCCCCCCAGCGGTCTGGCCACTGGTCGCCTGTATCAAATAAGCCCCACCTGGTAGATCCCGTGTGGGCGGTGGCCTCGGAATAAGATCCCGCAGCCGGATCCCACCCGGCAGCGCCCAGACTCCGGGACCCCCGTCGGAGGCCGAAATCCAGTCATTTCCGCGGGGCCCAAGGCAGGTCTAGCCTCAGGCAGCCCCCCCAACCCCCAGGCAGGGAGGCCCCATCCGGGCCGAGCAGAGCCCGGGGGCGACCCGCCCCGTCACACACCTGGCGACCTGGGCCAGGATCTCCTTGATGCGGACGATGAGCTTCTCGTGCTGGGCGGGGTCGCGCTCGATGGCGCCGTGCAGCCGAGCCATGTAGAAGTCCAGAGTGCCGAGAGTGGGCGTCTCGCCCGTGCCTGGAGAGGACAGGGACCGGTCACCGGAGCCCAGCGGGGGAGTCGATGCGGCCGGGGCCCCACAGGAGCAGAGGTCAGAGGGCGGGGGGGGGTCTCCAAGGGCAGGGTCCCGGGGAGGGGGCCAGAGGCGCGGCGCGTCGGGGGGGTCGGGTGGGGCAGCGGGACGTCTAGACCCGGAAAAGGCAAGGTCAGCTGTGGGCGGGGGGCATTAGACGGAAAGTGGTGAGGGCGAGGCCGTGGGCGGAGGGGGGCTTACAAACTGGGGAGGAGGAAGTAGCCAAGGTCAGCTGAGGCCAGAGCGCGAAAGGCCGGAGGGGAGGGGGGGTCGCGGGCAGGGGTCAGCGAGGGCGGGCGCGTGCTCTGCTCACGAGAGGGAGGAGTCATTCGGTGCAGGAGTCGCACGGCCGGGGGCGGGGCTGGCGGGGTTTCTGGGCTAGGGGCTCAAGGCGGTAGGGGTCCAGGCTCGACGCGGCTGGGGGCGGGGCCAGGAGGTGGAGCCGGCGGGGCGGAGCCCGCCAGGGACGGGGCGGGGCGGGGCGGGGGCGGGGCCCGACGGGGGCGGGGCCTCCGCACCCGGCACCGGCAGCGAGGCGAAGCTGGCGGTGAGCGCCTGGCGCACGGCCTGGAGCTGCTGCTGCAGCGCCAGCGTCCGCCGCTCCTCCAGCGCCAGCTCCTGCTCCAGGCGCTCCCGCGCGCTGCTCATGCTCTGCGTGTGCCTCTGCAGCACGGCGTTCTGCTCCTCGAAGGCCACGTTCATCTTGCGCAGGCGCCGCAGCTCTGCCTCCCGCGCTGCAGCGGGGGGGAGCCGATCAGAGCCTGGAGCTTCCTCCCTGCCCGCTGCTGGGCCTCTGCCTTAGCTGTGTCCCCCCCCCCGACCCCGACCCCCGGGCCGGCTGTCACTGCTCTGCCTCCAGCCCCACACCTCGGTTCGGCTCCGGAGGGTCCGGGGAGGTGGGCGCCTGTGCTTTTTTGAGTGGGTGGTCCGTTCCCCCACCGGCCACCTCCCCCGGCCTTGGCACCCT